TATGCTACCTTGAAGAACAACAAGGAAGTGGCAAGCCACCGCATAACATGGATGACCCTTGAGGACATTATGTTGAGTGAAATTAGTCAGTCACAAAAAGAGAAATACTGCATAGGACCACTACTGTGAAAGACTAAGAAAAAGAACCCATACTAAAGGGGGATGGGGGGAACTCTTTGTTGATTATTGGGATGTTGGGGATAGGTGAGGGGAAGGAAGGGAAGGTGGAGCACAGGGCAGGGATTAGAACAGGAATGTTTGGGTGCTGGGGAGGGGGCAATATACAAGAAGGGAGAGGGGAATGGAAGAATAAAGCAGATGGGATAACAATTAGGCATGTTTGAATGTGCTACGTGGGACAGTGGTAAAGAATGATGTATACACAACCTTGGAACTACAGGGCTCTTGGATACAGAGATTGAGGCATGGTTGGAATGGGGAAAGGGGGGATATAATGTTAAGATGCTTGGCGGTCTTTTGAATCTTGGTTTTCCTTGCATTATAATATAAAACAGACACTGTAGGGGGAGAGAAAGGAATAGTCAGAAACAACACCACAGAAAGCGTGTAAGTCCATCTTCTGCCTATAACTGATTGGAATACCTAAAATGGGGCTACAACGTGCTCAGTGAAGGATGCTTCCTGCGGAGCCTCTGCAATATATAAGACTATAGGTAGAAGCCTGAACCACATCCAGATATCCAGAGATGGGAAATTTCCACTTGAAAGGATTAGCAGACCAGCCTGGAGCAGCTAGAAGAACAGAAGATACTTCTTGAAAGAAAGACCTACAGGAAAAATACAAAACAATAGAGGCAGACGGACGGTTACTACAAGAACAAACAAGTTGCTTGCCCAGGAAACATCAAGGCAAGTGGTGGGGTCCCCTCAGTGCAAACCCCCTTCCAAGACTAAGACTCAATGGGAATGCACACTCGTCACCGATAAGGGGAAGTGAGGGAAAAACAACAATGAAGTGGCGACCTAAGTCCTACAATGTGGAGAGTGAAGCATTCAGCTGATAAAAAGAGAGGGCATATGCACAAGAACACCCACACTTGCAGATAATACCCACTTGATCAGAAGAAGAAAGAAGAGGAAAAAAAGAGTAATCTGATGCAATTTGATGAACTTGACCTACACCTATGGAAGCAGTAGTTCAAAAGAGGGAACAAATTCTTGCAGCAAGAATCATCCCCACACCCTCCATATACAGAGTAGACAGGGAT